GGGTGGCGGAAAAATCAGCGGACATTCAAACTACTGCTGTGCTATCTTCTTTCACAATCAGCGATGAGCAGGGTGGCGGAAAAATCAGCGGACATTCAAACTACTGCTGTGCTATCTTCTTTCACAATCAGCGATGAGCAGGGTGGCGGAAAAATCAGCGGACATTCAAACTACTGCTGTGCTATCTTCTTTATCGCGCACCTCTATGGATATGCACCAATGACAAGGTCCGCCAGTTACGAGTCCCACCCACCCGATTATCGCTGAATGCGCATTTACGCGCGTATACTCCAGTAAAAAAGATGACGAGGAAGAAATAGTGCTTAATGAATTATAATAAAGTGATCTATCAGAACGCTGAAATAGATAGAAAGGGAGACGAAGTTAAAAGCCTTGCCTTGAAAACTGCTTTTCCTCCAGGGACCGCTAGAAATCGCGCTTGCTGAGCTCGAATAATACCGTAAGCCAATCCATCACCCAGTGAGCTGCCCGCAACGGCTTCTGTAATGTAACTTGCAGCATATGTTAGGAGCAACTAACCTTTTCAAAATAAAAAGTAATAGAAAACTCACTGCTGAAGGGTGCCGTAACCTTCAACAAGGACAACAATGTCATCGCCCCTCAGCTGAAATTAAATCACTTCAAACTATCATGTGAGAGTGAGACAAAAACATGTCAACGAAAAAACCTCCAGTAAGACCCACATAGGTATCGCCCAATCAAAAGAGTGAAGAAAAGACTGGAAAGACAAGCAACTGAACGAAAACGAATAATTTTTTTCACAAAGATCTAGAGGATCACTCAATTGATCGCCATCTTGGAATCCCACGAGTCGCTTCGTAATAAGCTTTGAATGAATTCTAGGGAAGCGCTCGAATGCTTCGTAATCGCTTCTCCAGACGGAATAGTTTCCTTCCGTTTCATTTAGTACTTTTGGTGGACATTACAATGGGTTAACCACAACCGCAAGAGAAAACTACAAAGGAGTCGGTGTAATTGCTCATCACATACTCGAGACCTGACGCAGTTTCTTGGAAGTCAAAGAAGGCCCGCATTCCGATTCTAAATGGAACCCCCTCTCCACTAGTCTGAAAACAGACTTTCAGATAATAAACCAATAAGAATCAGTGGCAAAATCCCTCCTTGCTGTTAAAGAGTATTTTTTGGAAGGGTGACTACTTCTACTCAGAATACATCACTCAGAGAAAAGTGGAACACGGAAAAAATGAGCAGTTGAAAAAAACCTGCAGGAAAAGCTCCATAGCAGGAAATGCGCCAATGCTCCACTGGCGCATCTGGCGGCACACCTTGGCGTGTTTACGGTGCAAAAGTAGCACCGTTCCGAGAAGCTTCGTTCCATCATTCCCTCGCTCTCCCGCTTCCCTGCTGTACCAATAAACGCCAGAACTCGTCGCCACGAAAGATACTACCTCAGCAAGGAGGGACCACGCGGCAGGCTGCTCTTCTGGTCCCTCCTTGTCGAGGTAGTATCTTTCGTGTTGGTTGGCTCCAGTGAGGGTTCCTTCAAGGAAGCCCTGTAATTTCACCTCCAAATATCTTAGCACCGCCATATGTCTGTCTAGAGACAGTCACCTCTCATGCGTGGAAGTCCCGGCGACCAATTCCGACTCTTTTCGCCTGCCTCCGACTCGCCACTACCCTGCCAGTCGCTCCCAACCGCTTACCTCTGCGCTTACACCTGGGATAGAGAGACTGACTACTTGTCTTCGTTTGCTACATAAGGAATCTGCTCAACCATCCCAGACAGAGCCAGCCTGGCGCTGAATAGCTTCACTGGCCTACTTGAAGCATTGGAGCTTCGCGATCAGAGCGCCGAATAACCTCTGTGGTTCGATGGGGTTTCTTCGCGGAATTCTGGCAGTCGGAGGACGTAGAGGGAACAGCGCCCACTTTTCTTGCTACTACAAACCAATTTTTCCTAATGCGTACTGAGAATCGTTTAGATTGCAAACAACTTCGGCAATGTATCGGTAAGAGCGTGACAGGGCCAGTCTAGGGACGGTCCAAGTTTCCCCTAATCCCTTAATGGCGCTATTTTCTGCTCTGTAGCGCAGTATCTCGTCTACACTGCGTTCCATGACCGCTGTGACCTCACAGCGGTCTAGCTTCCCACATATGATAAGAGGCTCGGCCCACAACGGCATCCCCGCAATTGATAAGCGAGGGGCTACTTTCTTTCGCACTTCTGGACCCTGTCACAGCTGCTGAAGTCCGCTTATGCCACAAGGTTCCGTGTAATGAGCAAAAAGTCCAAAAGGTGCCCAGAACTCCAAGCACTCCCATAGGAGTGTGTCGTATGACTGCTACCGCAGATCCTACCGTTCCGTTCCCAAAAGGCGGAGCCACCACCGGAGACAGAGTATGTGCCATTTCACTTTAAGTTCACCACTTTAAACCAAATTCAGCACTTTTCAGACCAAATTCACCATTTTTCAAACCAAATTCACCACCAAATTAATCAGGCAAAGTTTGTTCCGAGTAACGGACGAGAACCTAGCATGCAAGCCAAGGCTCTATACTGCCGATTTGCACCATTTTTGAAAAGTGGGCGGGGCTTCTTTGAAGTGGGCGGAGCCTCTCACGGGCTTCGTGGAGCAGTCCGAAAATGCAAAAATTTGAAATATCAAAATTCCGTGAGAAGCAGGTGGGTGTGGCCAGGGGGGCCTGAACTGCCGGAGCATGAATGCGCGGTTACGAGTATCTTCGTTGCGCAAAGAGTGGATGTGAAAAAGTTATGAAATTTCGAAGTTCGCAACAAACCCTTTAAAGACTGGGCGGAGTCGGCCATGTGTTGAAAATCTATGTCCGCGCTGACAAGTAGGCGTGACCGTCGGGGCAGGGTTCGCAGTGGTGTCTGGCGTGATCTGGTGGTGAACTGCCCGGTCTAAAAAGAGTGGTGAATTTGGTTTGAAAAGTGGTGAATTTAAAGTGAAAATGGTATAAATAGAAATAGACTCGACTCTCGTGATGACGCAACTTGTCGCATGGTCTTTTGAGAGACCGCTCTCGGAAAGAGGGAACGGTGATTGCCTTGGCTGACAACAACTAGCGATTGGCCCCCTGGTATCCCTCCTTCGCCCTTCCACTCTTTTCCCCTTGTCTATTAATGCAAGCTATAACAACGAATAAACATAAACACACACTAATGTTCTCATCTGTACCGCTAACCCCCATCGGATGAAGGCCCACTACACTCCTCAGTCTAACAAGAGAATTCATACTTTACGTTAGACTGCGCTTATAATTTGAGACAGGGTA